TTTTATAATTTTTTAAGTGAAAAAGATATTTTTGTGTAAAAAAAAAAAAAAAAAAAAAAAAAAAAAAAAAAAAAAAAAAAAAAAAAAAAAATAATTGGCCTTAGTTTTCATATTTCTTTTTTGCGTTGCATAAAAAATGACTTTTCACTAAGTCCTAGGTAAATTGCAAAAGCTTACACTTTCGTATTGCTTTCAAGCTAAAATAAGTGAAAAATTGGTAAGATAATTTGGTTGTAACTTGTACCAATATTTTTTTCATTATTTTTTTCATGATTGTTTCTGCATTTTCTTGCATTGCATTGGAAAATAGTTTTTATTTTGTAATAACAAGTGAACACTGAAATATAATTATAAATATTGAAAAATTACTTCAATTAATAAATATTGAACACATATAATAATGTTAGTTATATCACCTTATAACAAAAACACTCGGCTTCCAAAATGGCATAATAATGTCATATTTGCTATGTTTCTATTTTCTCCCCTGCATTTAACCCATGTTCTAATGGCTCCAGAAAAAAAAATTGAGATATCTTTTAACCTTAAGGTCACTGTAGCAAAAGCAAACTTTACCCACTCTCATTGCATTTTGTTGAGATTTTTAAAAGCCTCAGTTTAACAATCTTCTTGCCTTAAGTTCACAGAAGCAAATTCTAGCTTTTACTCACATTGAATAAAGCAGTCAAATATTTAACAATGTGTATACAGCAAAATATACTATACATGAAAACCAGCAAAAATTTACCCTAGCAGTCAACAATGAAAGAATACAATCCTACAAATCGTAGTGTTTAACAGTCTGGATGAGACTGAAATTTACAGCATATTTTCTTTTGTCTTTCATTTTTCATGTGCTGAAAAACTCGAAAAATTTAAACCTCACATTATAAATGGAGCAATGACTGCTGATTCAAAATTGTGTGCGTAGAATATTTTTGTCAGTTCATCTTTTTACCGAGCTTAAATCAATGCCATATATTTGAAAAGTATTATAAAGTTTGTTGTAACTTGACCAATACAGGTACAATACTGTTAATCTGTCAATATAATTTTTTTTTGTTAAAAAAATACACCTTTTTGTAAGAGACCAAAAACATTCTACCTTTGAAGTGTTACATTTCTTCAGAAATGCTTTCCTTTTTTGTCAGTATACAAGAGACCATGAAAAATCTTTTCCATCACAGCAGTTAGTCTGAATTCTAAATTATAGTGAAAAAAGCACATCTCACAAGTACATTTGTTACACCCTGTAACTGACAGAGATATCTCTTTTTAGTAAGAGCAACTTCTATACACAGACAGCTGCCTCAGTTTAACCATCGAAAATCCGAGTTCAACTCCAGAACAATTAATTGTCTTTGTTCAAATCTCTTTGTCATTCAGCACAGACTCGTTCTCCTATTTTTTAACAACAAAGACAGAGGTTCAAGTGCCACTTGGCAGATAAAATGGTATGAATTCAATCATCCAAATGAAGAATATGTGTCATTCTTTTGCTCTTATGCTGGATAGCCAGGCCCGTAGCCAGGGGGGGGGGGGGGG